TCCACCCACTGACTAAGTCATAGTCATCCAACAAACCTGCATGGAAGAAATAATTGCACTGTATGCCCTATGTCAGCTGTTTCTATAGTGAGGCGGAGCACCTAAATATGCATAAAAGCACATTTGGCTGAAACCTGGATACCTGGGATTTTGGTTCTAGATCTAGTTCTGTGATGGTGACAAGTCACATAACTACTTCCCTTTCAGTTGAGTGCTGGGTATCAAAAGAGTGATAAAGTCACACATTCTGATCACAGTGGGAATGATTCTCTGCTTTTAAGGTTCCATGTGATTAGATTAGGCTCACCTGGATAATGCAGGCTGATTTCTCATTTCATTTAAACACACCTGCAAAGTCTCTTTGGCAATCTAAGGTAATATATTTCCATGTTCCAGGGATTAGAATGTGGCCATATTTCCGGGGCCATTATTCCACCTACCACAAGGCTGTAAAAGCTAATTTTTGTATTAGGGTGGAGATCTAGTTACTTCTAAGAATCTCCCCAAAATATAAGTGCAAATACTGCACATAGTTTTTTTTTTTTCTTTTCTTTTCTTTTCTTTTCTTTTTCTGCCTTTGTAGTCTTCAAGCAAGGAACTTAGAACGGTTACTGGCCAAAGGGACTAGAAATCCAACATTGCAGAAAGTACTACGGGTGAATTAAGAGAATGAAAAAGGAGATTAGAAAAATAAACCATCAGTATAAGCATACCATGAATCTTAATTTTTTCTTTGAATAAATAACACATTTATATGCTTCAAAAATGTTTAAAGGTATGTAATAAAAATATTCCCATATCTTCTCCCCCAATAACACAGCTGTTAGGTTCCTATATAATTTAAGAAACCTAGTGTGAAAAGAAACTACGTAAGTAGAAAAGTATAACACAGTGGGAATGATTCTCTGTTTTTAAGGTTCCGTGTGATTAGATTAGGCTCACCTGGGTAATGCACACTGATTTCTCATTTCATTTAAACACATCTGCAATGTCTCTTTGGCAATCTAAGGTAACATATTTACATGTTCCAGGGATTAGAATGTGGCCATATTTCTGGGGCCATCTTTCCACAGTTCATTCCTGCATATACACCAAATATGAATGCATATTCCTATCTTTCACCCTTCACCACCAGGAAAGAAGAAAGCATTCTATATGCAGCTCTACTCCATAAGTAGAAAAACAATCTATATCAGAACATAGGGTGTTTTTCCTTCATTCCTCATTGCAAAAACTTTCTACTCCATTTCATAGATGTACCACAAATCTCATGGCCATTTGACGTGATTACAACACAATTTATAGAATAGACTCCTCTGTACTGATTTGTAGTGCTTCCTTTATGTTTAACTCCAATATCCATTTAGGCTTATTTATGTCCTATGAATTATTTATTAGCTTCCCATACCACAGAGTTTTAAATATGTTTTAATGTCTGGTAGCCCTTGACTTTTCTCATTACTCTTCTTTTTCAACTATTTCTTTTATTTCTCATCTGCTTATCTTTCTTTATATAGTTTAATGGCAAATTGTCTTGTTTACAAACACCTATTGGCATTTCTATTTATATTCATAAAATTTATGAATTTACATAGGGAGAATTGATACATTTATTATGTTGTCTTCCTATCCAATAATATAGTATACTTTTCTACTCATGTAGTTTCTTTTCATACTAGATTTCTTAAGTGATATACATGGGATCTTGATGAAAAGAGGCAAGGTGTTATTGAGTACTGTTGGGCATTCATAGACAGTGCGGAAGAGGCACTTAAAAGAGGGAGCTGCTAGTTATAAGCATACAATTTACTATATGCTTAATCCTAACAAGAAAATAAAAACACCCTTATTCCAGACAGGGACAGTAAACTAACTGGGAAGGGGTAGCAGTAAACCAGCTTGGTTCACTGATATAGCAAACCACAAACACTCAGACACACACTGAAATACACACTGTCTTACTCTGCCTAGAAGAAGTGACACAAAGGTCCTCTGACCAAGTGCCCCTTTCCTGAACAACCAATAACTCCAAACAAATCCAAATCTTCTGAAACCCCAGAGTTACATCCCAGGGTATTAAAACTATTGATGAGCCCCCTGAACAAAGAATTGTAATCTCACTGGATGCTTGTGTTTAAAGGACCTCTCCACATTCTCTCTCTCTTGCCTCCCCTTTGTACCAAGCTAGTTCTCACTCTGCCTTGAGGTCTCAGTTTCCCTGAGACTGGATTAGATGCTCCAATTTTTGCTTCCATAATACCCTCAACACTGCTAGCATCACACTTACTAAACCTTATTGGAAGATTTCAGTGACTTTTGTTTTTTATGATGCCTTCAGCAACAACCCCTGTTCCTTGGGGGATGCTTATTAAAGGAACAATAAGTGAATCAATGAATGATTCTAGAATAGAATGTTCTCTATACTATTTTTTTTGCAAAATTTAGTGTTATTTTTATTTCTCAAAGTTACAAGCCAAAAGAAGACAAAAATTCATATATCACTGTAATAGAGATAATTGTGAAGAAAGATTGAAAGGTAAACATTTCAATCAATGATCATAACCTTGAGTGAGCACCGTTTCATTATCTGATTGAAGAATTTGACACTTGCATACTCCCCTTACCTAAAATTACCCATCACTTAACTATTTATTAAGAAAACAGTATGTTAAGCATGTTAAGTGATATAGAATATAAAAAAGCTAAGGTATATGTTTTGCTTGCTGTGCCCATCCATCTAGTGAGAAAGGTAATGTATGCATTAACAATGCAAAGATAAACAGCAACACAAAGATAGAATTTAAGTACCAGCTGACTGGGATGCCAGAAAAGATGATGGTGATGTTAACTGTCAGGTGGGCTTGTGAGGAAGACCCTTAAAAGTAGGAAAATGTTGAGTAGCCTTGTTAGATTAAAGAACAGAAGGCCAGACGAGTATGGGAGTTGCCAGACTGGCTATCTTTATTGATTTGGGGACTTGTGTAGAAAAGGTAATAAGTCTACATCTCAAATCTACATTTTATATTTACCAATGAATAAATAGAAATTTAATGCTAGAATAAATAATGCCTCAGATATATATCCTATTTCCCATCCTCAGGAATATAAGAATGGGTTTACGCTACTACCTTCTGCTTCTAACAAAAAGTGATTGCAAAGTCTTGAAGAACTTAGAGGACTACTTGCTCCATATAATTATATGAAATGGCTATTTTTTAAAAGAAAACCATATAACTCAAGCAATATTTTTTCTCTACACATATGCACAACATCACTCTTCACTTGTGTAAGCAAATAAATTATAATCTTGACTATAGTATTGTTTTTCAGTAATTTTTTCTGAACATAGGTTTTATTCTATTACAATGCTTGAATGACTCACATGCAGTGTTTCCAATCCACTTTTCCTGGCTTGTGAAACTTTTTAACAAAATGTTAGCATTTGCAAGCACCAGATGTTTTGACATAAGGAGAAGCAATATGTAAATTTTAATCCATGCTAGGAACAATAGCCTGCAGGCACATTTTTCTTGTTACATGAATCATATACTTAACCACAATGTGGTCGAGCCTATCAAAATTATCACTATCTCAAATGTAATATTCTTGTCTTATGGTTGCCAATTAATGAAACTGACACATATTTAACCTGATAGGTATCCATTACTTAACCAATAAGACTTATTGTATTTTACCACTACCCTACCACATAGCAAGAACTCTGCAGGTGACCATAACAACTTTTTAGGGGGTTTTAATCTTCCTTTTGGTGGTCAATAAAATCAATGCTTGTATTAGATCTTAATGTTTTACAGCTGCAAATATTATTTATTTTACCAAAAATATTAAAACCTATTACAACTTTCTTAATCTTTTCTACCTTTAACTCAACTCAGGGTAAGGGGTATGATGTATGGGTTGTGTGTGTGTGTGTGTGTGTGTGTGTGTGTGTGTGTTGTGTGTATTTCTAATAGGAAAGATTTGGAGATATCTTCAATGTTTTCTAGATATATGTTCCAATAAAGAATAACATATTCTCTTTAGCTTGAGGATTTGCTAGGAACAACAACAAAAAAAAGAGTAACAAAGAAGAACATATTCTCATACACAGACTTTTTCTAATATTGAAGAATTATAAAACTTTTAAAATAAGCTCCCACATGGACACACATACATATGTATGCCCAAACACACCACAGATGTACATACACATACAATAAAAAATCAAGTATCAAATCCATTCAGTCATCCATATTTTCAGCCTATATACTGTTTTAAAAAAATTCATTCTGACTTTTTACCTGTATTAGGTTGATTATTCGTTCCATACAAAGATTGATATAATGATCAGTATTTTGGCCATTGATAATACTTTAAGAAAAATATGTATACAATATTACTTTTTTTAAAAGCAAAGAACCTATATTTGAACATAGAACACCACTTTTTATGGTTAACTCTGAGCAGTCCTGTTTTAGCATTTTAAAATGAAGTATGGAGGGAAAAATTCCATAAACATGGTATTAAATACTAGAAAGTCTTAACACAACTGAAATCCTTATTAATTTCATTATCAAAGGATAGGTCTAGTCAATACCAATTAGCAGCTTTAAAATGTTTTACATATTAAAATACAGTATTCTATTTATCCTGGATTGTCTGGGGACCATCTAGTATATTAAAAGGTTTTGCAGAGTTTCTTAGTGATTTCACTGCTACCATTATGCCTGTTAGCAATTTTGCAACATTCTGATAAATATTTTCCATAAATCAAAGCCATAACGGCATGGTGAAGCAGATGGCAGGAGGCCATATTAAAGAATGTAACAATTATTTTCATTAATAGGGAAATATTGAATCATCGTTTTCAGCATGGACCATGTAGTTAACAGTTGTCAGTTGTGATGGCTGGTTTTAAATAACCCTTCAAATGATTAACCCACATTCTCTGTTTTCCAGTGCAGTCTATATACAAAGGCAGAACAAAAACTGTAAAAAACTTTATAATTATAGTCTTTCATTTAATATATGCAAAGAAAATATTGGTACATTTTAAGGTATTTTTACAAGATTCACTTATGTATTAAAGTATACCAAAGTTCTCCATTTTCTTAGAAAATAAGACACATTAGTTATTAAAAATGAAAAATACCAATAATTACAAATTCTACAGTATTGTTATATTAACAATGTTGTCTTGATCTAACCAATGTTAGATTAAAATTATGGGAATGTTACTTCAGCTATTCACATATGTAAAACACTATTAAAGTCAAAGATATTTAACTACATTATAATTATTAAGATTAAATAGCTGAATTAATTTTAGCCTTGTATGCCATAAGCAACGGCTATGCTGTTAGATAAGATTCTTGAATTTAGTTTGCTTTTAAACTTCAGTATCATATTTAAAGAACAATATGTAACTTCCTAATTATATATAATTCAGCAAAATCAGTTCCTTCTTTCTTTTGTATATTTCGTTTGTTACATAAACTACCAGCTTTAACACAAAACCAAATTTATTTCTGTGGAAAAAATAAAATTGAAAATATAGAATCTTTGAAATAAAACAGTAGTGCAGGGATAAAAGAAGTAGTATTACAAACACAAAAGTTTTTACTGTTATTCTTTATGCCTGCTGGATAATGTAAGGAAAATACATTTTACGGAGAATTTCATCTGTAGAAAACACAATAGAAATCATCTGATTATGCAGAAATACACATAAAAATCCCTTTACAAGCAGATAAAAAGTTTCCTTTTATGTATAAAGCAGTAGATAATAGTATTTCATCATTAAGTTGGTTGAATCTTGAGGGATATATTTTTTAATCAAAATAGCTGTTTTCTCATAATCTCCTATACACTCAAATTCTCTATGGACCTCAGAGGGAAAATGTAGCACAGAAATTTTAAGAAAAGCTATGTTTTTCTGATTTTGAATTGTTTCCTTGTTTCCAATTAAAATTCATACAAATAATAACTATAGGAGGGACATATAAAATATAAGATCAGAAACACTTGAAGTGTATTTAGTATTTATTAGGTAAATGTAATGAAATCTCTGTATATACAAATATTAAGTCAAACTGACATACTTATCCACATATGGGGCACTGGAGGCGCAAATGTTGTAATTCCATATAGCACATAGAGACTATGCCATTCTCAATACTGAAACAAAATCCAGTCCTTCAGGTGTTTTTAAGAAACCCAGATGGTTGATCTTGCACTGATAAAACAGTGAAATAATTAATTGATTCCAATTTTCTTCCACATCTTACATATCAGATGGTCAGTAAATACCTAAAATGTTTGTATAGGGTCAAAGACATTGNAAACCATGGAACACTCAGTTATGCCATTTATTTATTTAAATGTTTAAATTCCACAACATCCAAACAGGAAAAAGGTGTTTTCATGATACTTTGAAGTATAAGAAAATTCCTGTATGACTCAGTCTTTCAAAACAAAATAAAAATATATTCTTTTTAAAGTTATGAAATCTAACTTTTCTCTTGACATTATGGTAAATGAGCATACCAAATCAGGACATTCTTTGTATCTATTTTTTTTAAAGTAAGAACTATTAAATATTTGATTTACAGTCATGTAGGTGGGGAAAAATGAGTTGAAAAAGGAAGAGAAAGGCTATTTCTCAATGTCCCCAGCTCATCTGACTATTTATTATTTAGAACTTTTTTTAAACCTATACAAAGAAAGCTATGGTCACTGATATGCCTATAAACTGAGAAAATATTATCTGTACATATAGTCTCCATTTGATATAGGAAAAGTTCAAGAAGAAAAGGCACTAAAAGAAAAAAAGTTGTAAAGAGCTATATCTCCTCACAGGAGGTCATTATTATTTTAAGATAATTGGAAGTTGGAAAAGGCTATTCAATGTGAATCTATGAAAAAGCAGCCAACATTTAATAATACAGAAAATGACTGGATGGGACATTATTTTGAAAAAATAATGAAAAGCAATACTATTATTTTATCTTACTGTAAAGGAAGTTTTTTTTTTATAATTGTAATTATGAATTAATTCTTTAAATGAAAATGGATAATTGTATATTAATTGAATGAACAAATCGATAATTGTGTATTAACAGTGCCATTACAGTTGATGCTTTTTGTGATAGCATTATTTGACAAAAAATTTGCCTCTTTTACTATTACGAAAAACCTCATTTCTGCAAAACATATTCTAGACAGTCATAAATTTTTCTAAGGAGCTATCTTGATTCTTATATACTCAAATAATTTGCTTTTAAATTCACATTATTTTTGTTTTGAAATTTATTTGCATCATTTCAAATGTTATGGTCAGATGTTTATATTATTCAATAATTATAGTGAAACTGACCCATAACTATATAATAAAGATGAGGCATAGTTTGTTGCATGGGCAGGTCATGTTTGAAAAATGACTATATAAATGAACAACTTTTTAGTGAATCATCTAATTTTTGGTACACATTTACTTCCCTATGCAACCTCATCATTATTAGGAATGGGATAACTATATTTAGATAAGTAGGGGACCCCATCATTATACATGACATTAACTGCACACCTAACAGACCTGATTCAGGAATTTTTCACTTGGGATCCAAGAAAACATTCAGGAGATCCCTAAGATCTCTGAATGCATGCAAATTATTGTCCATATAAACAGTTCTATACTTTTCTAGGGAGAGGGTCTATAACTCACTAGATTCTCAAGGGAATCTGCCTTAAAAAGTTAAGAACTATCATCTAATTAATGTTTAATCTATTTCAGTTGACTGGGACATAGCACAACTTTTTACTCTCTTTAAAAATGCATTACCCATTTTACAGTTTTCTGACATCTCATAATCTGAATGTAGCGGCAAATATTAGTTCCCTCTCCAGATCTCTTGTGTTTAGGCTCTATCATCCTGTGCCAAGTCCTTATATCAGCTAAGATTGTGAAGGATAGGTTTCAGGGCCCAGTTGTTGTACTTTAACAGAATGGAAAATGGTGACTGAGTAATGACATCATCAGTGCAAGTCTGTTCAAAATATAAAGAAATGAGAATAATAGATAAAATGAGAACAGAAGCAGTCTCTATCTTATAAACTGACATGTTTTCCATGAATTCCAAATATATTACTTCTCTATAATTTTTAATGTAAATCAAATTATCAACACAGATAATAAAGTGGAATTTTGTTATAAAATTAAAAATATGTAATGCATTCTTGAAAATTATTGAGAATATATATCTAATAGCTGTTTCACATGACATATTTCAGATGAATTTATCTATCAGGCTTTAATGGCTGTACCCAGAAGTTAGTAATTATTTTTCCATGCCAAACAATAAAAATTATTTTAACTTTTCTAAATCTGAGCAAGTAAGCTAAGCCTGAGATAATTATTATGCCATAATAATTTACTATTTCTCTACTTTTATGAGCTTTAGGGTCTCAACTCTTATACTGATATATTTTCCATGTGAGAAATAACTAAAAGATCCTTTCAAAATCTATCCCAAAGCTTTAACTTCATGAAAGATTACATCTCACTCAAGTTACTAATCTATATTTTAATTTTTAGGGTCCTCCCTCCTACTAAAAAAAAAGTGTTTCTATTATATTAATACTATATTATTTCACCCTAATTTTTAAGGGCCTTCACAACCTGTTGTCAATCTTATGTTTCAGAACTCCCCAACGGGCATCTTCTAGGGTATCCAGATATTTCCAGAGAATGTCCCATAAAGACACTCCCCCAGTTATTCTCACTTTCATCATTTGGTTGATATTATTCCTTTATTTGCTCTCACATTCACTCAATTAATGCCTTTAAAGAGAAGTCAAATTCTGCTGTTCCCACAAACTTTGTCATTCATTTTCATTTTCTTTGACCTTCTGTATTTACAACTTATGCTTAGACTTTTTTATTCTATGTCTTCTATCTTTTGTTTTTCATGCATTCTTGTTAGCTACTTTAGGAGTAACACCATATCTTGTTCATCCCTTCTGCATTTTCTCAGGACCCACTGCAGTTCTGAGTATGCTTCCATAAATACTCATCTATCGGATGATCACTCATGGAGGTCCAGCACAGAGCAATGTGCTTGGTAACTTAATTCCCTAACCTAAAACAAGCACAAGAGATAAAAATCTGAGTGAGGCATCACATATATAAATGCTTATAATAAATGCTAACAGTGTAATCAAAGATCATAGGCCTCTCTAAGTACTACTAGAAATAGAAAAAAAAAAAAGAAATAGAACCTTACGCTCCTCTCAGAACTGAAAATAATAAGAAATAGTTTCTGTTTTACTCATTATTTTGTCAATTGGCAATTCAATTTTCAATATTTTATCCATCTGGAACAAAACAGAATCAACAACTAATTGATTTCTATCCAATATTGGACATGATGAAAAGTTTTAAACATCTGAAAACTGTCCTTGTAGGGGACTTTTTATATTTTATTGACTGAAATTGATGATCTGATATATTTTCTTAATGAAGAAAATAAAATTTAGAATGTGATTTTAATGCAGTCGGAAGAATGAAGAAAATAGAAGAACATATACCTGAATTATGTGCATACGTGTGGATGTATGTTTGTGTGAGGGGATACAATTCTGGTCCATACTCCTGAGGAAAATATTCAATGTGTTTCTTTTCCCAACAGAGCCTGGAGACATAAATATGCATAGATGCTTTTAGAATTAGTGTAACTGAACCAACTGAAGAAATTAGGATCTAATTTTAGTAACCAATGTTTTTATAAGTTATCTGTATTTTATTGTGGAAAATTCTCATATTTACTATAGATTTGCTTGTCAACCACAAGTGAAAGATAATCTATTATATAATTATTTCTCCTACAAAGCTTGAACTTTAGACATGTCCACTAGACAATGGAAAGAGGCAATGACCACCTGATATGTTGATCTTGATTCTTGAAGTCTGCTGTAAGAGTTGAAGAGAAGATGGAAGTGAATAACTAAGAGAAGATTTATATATTTCAGTCGTTTTACGCTTTGCAGTCATTAGTTCCAGTAGCACACCACCAAGTTGCTGCTTTTAAAACATCAGTAAAGAGCTGCTTCTTATGCTGTACGTCTTTCCAAGAAAACAGAATTTAAGTGTATTTGGACTCTGTAGTCAAAGAAGAAAACACCTCTTTTTCGCTCTCAATAATTCATTAACACCATGATTTTTCTTCCTGTGAATTCTTCTGTTGCTATCAGTTTTTCATGAACAACACATTCCTTTTGGAAAAAAATACAAACAAACAAGCCAAAGCAACATATGAAACACAGAGCATAATTGCATAGCACCAGAGTAGAATTGCTTTCCAGTTGATAATTGAGTCTGTTTATTTCTTACAATTCATCACCATCATCTGAGCTTAAGCTACTTCTCCTACTGCTCTCTTTGGAAACTGCAGGGGAAGTGGCAGATAGCAGAGGATCTGTTCCAAATGGAGAGATTGTGTCGTCCAATAGCATGCCATCCAATCTTTGTTCCTCTTTCAATGCAGCACTAAATGATAAATCTGTGAAGTATGACAAAGGATCAGAAAAGGCTATAGCTTGATCACAGAGCTCGAGGCTTCGTCCCTGAGATACAGTCAGTTGTTGGCAATAGTCTACTGAATTCTGCTCAGGATGGCTCTGCTGTTTGGTGACATGAGCACCTAAATCAACTGTGCCAAGTGAAGCCAGGGTTGGCAGACCATGAGTACGAGCCTGAATTTCTAGTTCCTGTAATTTCAAATGAGAATCATTAAATAATGTATTTGAAATTGGACTTAATACTAGAGAATAAGCCAGACTAGAATCAAAATATTAACAAGCATTTAAAATGAAGAGTAATACAATACAAATTATGATAATCTTTGCAAAAATGAAATTGATACATGTCTAATGCCTAAAAATAACTCTGAGAAAATTACTCAGATTTAAAAAAAAATTTTAGTCTCATTGTTCTACCAGAGAATTTATGACAGAGGATGATTCCACAGTGGCTCAGACTACAATACAGCCATTTGAAGACAGCAGAAATCATCCATTTATTCTTCCTGATTAATTTCTCACCAAAAATGCAGGACCTTTTCATGGAAACAGAGTAAAAGCTTTACCTGCCTCTAAGCATACTCACATTTTAAAAAACTTGAGAGTAATAAAAGCCCATGTTTTGATATTTCAGATTATATGAACAGATAAGCAGTGACTTAATATAAACTGACACAACATGCCTTGAGGCAATGAAATCCTTAGCAATGTTAGTAAAGAAATGAAAGAGGGAGGGGAGGATTTAATGTTCATTATAATCTAGAGAAACAAATGTTCTACTTAGTATTATTATTTGAATGTGATAATAAGTTGTGCATTTATGAAATGAGTTCTATTTTATGCATTTTGTAATTTGTTGTCATATATATGTTTATATACACACATATACACACATGTGTGTATATATACATATATACACAATACATTTTCAACCATCAGGATCCTGGATTTCTAGTCAAAACCTAATTGAAACAACCCAATTCACGAACTTCTAAAAAGCAGTAAAATTATCCTTCAAAAGGAAAAATAATTGTTAATAAGAGAAAAAATAAATGAGACCAATGAAGAAAACGGATGACAGCTGAGTCATATGTAAGGTATGTGGCTCATGGCAACGCTCTTATAAAAACCTGAATCCGAAGTAGAAGTCGCCTGTTAGCCTGCTCTAATTTCTTCTGTCTGTGTTCTAATTCTCGGGCTCTCTGTTGTTCTTTTTGTAGCCACTTGATGTACTCCACTGATGCTTTTAGAATGGTTCCTTTGTTCCAGCGCATATCACTGTAGAACGGAGAGATAACCTTTTCACAATTGTGCATGTCAGCAGAATTCATAAGAACTTACAAAATCTTTTACATTAATATGAAATAATGATTTACATGACTATTATTCACTCTTAGATATTATTGCTTCTGAATAGAAATTTTAATAGAATAGTTAAGAAGCCCTTATATAGTAAAATTAATCCCTGAATGAAAATAAGTGTCAAAAGAAAGTAATAAAGTGACTTTTTGTGGGAGAGCTAAATGCAATATCATGATTCTACCATTACAGTTTTTATATTTTTAGTGAAAATTGCTTTTATTATTAACTCCGAGATTAAAATCTATGTGCAGTATTTCTGCATTAATGAACTAGGAAATGTACATTGCTGAGGACTTAAGCCTAAATTTTTAAAGATCATTTCAAATGTAGCAATCTTTTAACTTACTTTATAATAAGGTTGCTTTTATGTTTCTAAGAAAAAAAAAATAAAGTCCCTCCTGAATGGTGATCCTCAGCAATTGTGAAACAACTCAGACTCTGGCAACATCACTTTATGTAACACAGCAAACTTTCTAAAACCATTCAGTCAATTTTTATGTACAAACATCATAAAAACTTTTTAAAAGCTTGATATGAATAGCTATTTTTAAATACATTGAAGATAAGTAAATGTAATTAAACATTACTGGATAACTTTTTAGGCTATAGCATAGAAGAAATCATTTTATTAAAACTTACTTTTAAGACAGGAGAAATTAATGATATGAAATTGTGGAAGAGGCTACTAATTTTGACATCTGAAAATATACACTAATGAATGTAATACTGTATGAGAACTGATAATATGTTTGGAGAATGAGACCAAACTAATTGCTAAATGTTAATCAGAGTTGTTGGAAAACCTTGATGCATTTTTAATTTAGAGTCATGAGTTGTTTTTAATATAGCATAAAGTACACAAGTAAGGAAATATGACATTTTTCTACAGTATATTTTTGGTTATGTGACAATGCCATCAGCAGTAAAATACTAAAAGAAGAGACATTTTTCTATCAGCAGGTGAAAATACATGCTGGAACCTGGGTAAGAGCTCTGGTTTGCTGAAATGCACCAAAACATTGTCAATGAACATCACAAGTTTGAAAATGCTTTGTCATTTCTTTAAGGCTATAGTGGCTGTTGGTCTCATTCCATTTACAGGGTGAGGGGAATGGGTGGGTTAGTGGTGGTGGGAAAGGTGGGGAAAGGCAGGCTATCTTTGTTATTAAACCAAGTATCTGTAACTGAAAAGTATAATGGACTCTCAACTAAACTTATAGCAGTAGCAAAAGCCTCATGGACCCCTTTTTTGTGTCATCTTTTCTCATGGGGAGGAAAACTTGAGGACAGGGAAATAGATAAAAAAAAAAAAAAGATAACTCTGGCCAACTCTGAATTTTAAAGTACTATCATCAAAAATAAACCTTCAAAATGGTAGTAGAGAACATAGAACGAACCTCCCTTCAATTTGTACCTGAAGTCACTTACAATACATTTTTAGAAGTCTTTGTCTTTTATTGTTATTTTTGTTTAGGTTTTGCTTTTTTATCAGTGGTCAAGAGATTGTCATTGTCTAGTAGTGTTTTTTTCACATAATTTTCTCAACCTATACTTCCCAATTACAGCTGTTCTCTACATTCTTTTCCTCTAAACTTACCATTTTGACCTGCAAAGAAATAGAAACTTTTGAATGTTTTGATTCATAAAAATGAAAACTTCATAGAATTCAAAGCGTCTTCAGGTATTAGCTTTGATTTCCTAAGCCAACTCCAAAATATATTCCAATCAGGAGCTGGAAAGTTCCTCAAATGTCAACCATGCCACAATTCCTGCTATTTGCCCAGGAGTATATGGTGTTAGGGGATAAGCCCCAGATTTCCTCACTCAGTTCAGTACTCTTCCTGTCAACCTGTGGCTTTCCCACCTTTCGAATGCATCTGTCATAAGAAACATGTTTTATATAGTGGCTTGGCATACTCAGTATACAAAACTGCAATAAAGATTTCACAGGGTTTTCCTATTTTCTTTACATGTAATACTCTCATATTTTCAATACTATTCTTCTTTTTTTGTTCAAAACATTGCATTTGTCTCATTTGAGTGAGTCCATGACCCATTAACAGGTATGGAACATAATTTGAACTATCTCATACTAGATAATTGTATAGTCTCAAGTACTTTTTTAGTTTTTAAAAACTGTCCTTCATCATTTAATGGTTGTAGTCACCTATTGGACAAGTTATTCTAAAATTTGCTAGACTGAAACTAAAATCTTGTATGGTCTCTTCTTTTTTTTTCCAGATCCACTGTTTGTTAATTTCATAATTACCATAACATAATAATGTCCTTTCTTCTTTCATTTTCTCACCTTCAAAGTAAACTTGCCTCATCTATGCTACCCTACCTTTTCCTCAGCATTCTTGTTTTCTGTGACTTTTAGATTATCCATAATAACATCTGAAAATTTGACAAATGGATCCAAAATAATTTTGTCGTGTAGATGGATACCCCTTAGTCCACGGAGTCAGATTGTGGTTCTCAGGTAAAGTCCATTTTAAGAGGACACACTCTGGATTCAACCATGGGACCCTTATTCCTGAACCCTAAAGAGGGACACTGGAGTAACAGATGAGTCCACAGCAAGCCAAAGAATAAAATATATTTAAAGAGAATTAGTACTGAGATTTTTGGAATGTCATATCTTTTAGTGAAGTGTCTTCTCTACCTGTGATATACAGAAAGATCCATGTATAGGCATATTCAACATCTAATTAATGTGTTTTCCATTAGACTCAAAATAAATCTACAAACAACATAATAGAATTGAAACAAATAATAACACCTTTTCTGAGATTCATAAGGAAGAGAAAAACAATGCTTGCAATGCAGTTTTCCCAGTTTTGGTCTCTTTTAGATATGAGTCTGTCATAAATTGAATTTTCATATTCTAGACCAAGGGTAGACAAACTGTAGCCAATAGCTTATTTTTGTCAATCAGTTTCACTGGATGAGGTAAAGCTCATTCATTCACATGTTGTCTGTCTCTGCTCTTGTGCTACAAAGGCAGAGTTAAATAATTGTGACAAAGACTGTATGTATGGCCCGTGAAGCTTGAAATATTTACTATCTGGCCGTATACAAAAAATATTTACCATCCCACGTTCTAGAAAATGAATGAGAACTAGAACAGAGTCTTTAGATCAAGTTTTTATTGAAATGTAGAGTAATAATCTCTCATAAAACTTTATAACTTGGAAACTATTTCCATACAACCTATTTGATTTTATTTTTATAAAAAACACAGGCATATAGGAAGACAAATATTTTCTTTAGCTAACAGAGTCACATGTTTTGAGAGTTTAAAAAATTTGAAGAGTTTGAGGTAGAGTCTTAATTAGGCCCGATCTCCTCAGACCCTACATGCCTTCACAATCTAATATGTACATGAGAACAAATATTATATTCACTTATCTAACAAGTTGTTGAATTGTCCAAGTAAATTAGCAAATTTTGATTTAGAGGAAAAAATACTTTAAAATCTCATAAACATTACTTTTTGTGTGTGTGTGTGGTATAGGGTCTTGCCCTATCACCCAGGCTGGAATGCAGTGGTGCGATCATGGCTCACTTCAGCCTTGAAATCCTGGATTCAAGTGATCCTTGTGTCTCAGCCTCCTGAGTAGCTTGGAGTATAAGTGCATGCTACCACGCCCATCTTCCTTCTCCCTCCCTCCTTCCCTCCTTCCTTCTTTCCTTCCTTCCTTCCTTCTTTCCTTCCTTCCTTCCTTCTCTCTCTCTCTTTCTTTCTTTCCTTCTTTCTTTCTTTTTTTCATAGGATTGCACCCAGGCTGATCTTGAGCTCCTGGCCCCAAACAATCTTCCTGTTTGGTCCTCCTAAAATACTGGGCTTACAGGCAAGAGACAATGCACTTGGGCCACAAGTATCACTTTATCAAACATGACCATTTCTGGATAATGAATAATATCCAGTATTTGAAGAAGAAAATTCTCAATTTTAATGAAATATTTCAAATCATTATTAATGCTACAGAGTCCATGATTTTGCTTTTTTTTTTTTTTTAAAGATGGAGTCTTGCTCTGTTGCCCAAGGCTGATGTGCAGTGGCACAATCTCAGCTCACCACAACCTCTGAGATGGAGTCTTGCTCTGTTGCCCAGGCCAAAGTGCAGTGGCACAATCTTGGCTTACCACAACCTCAAGTGATTGTCCTGTCTCAGCCTCCTGAGTAGCTGGGGTTACAGGCAAGCACTGCCATGTCTGGCTAATTTTTGTATTTTTAGTAGAGATGGTATTTCACCATATAGGCTGGTCTTGTCTTGAACTCCTGACCTCAAGTGATCTGCCTGCCTCAGCCTCCCAAAGTGCTGGAATTATAGGTCTTCACATTTTTAAAGAATCATTCAGCATTTTTAATCAACACTTTATTTCTCAATATTTACAAGAGTAAGCAATTTGTTTCATGGACATTTTTGTGCATACAGCACAAAGCCTGGTCAGCATCGATCATTATGCTTTTACAATTTCATTTGTTACTTGTATGTGTGCAGAATTTGGGGACCTTGAAAAATCTAACAATCCTATTTCCACCTGCATGAAAATTTTAAATTGGAAGAATTATTATACTTATAAAAATTAAATATACCAGTCAGTATCATAAATAACATTTGACATTACCACTAAATTTGACAATATTGTCACCATACAGAAAGATTCACTATGAACTCAGGAGAAACAACTTATTTACTTCCTGTAGTTCAAAAGGACAACTCTTAGTAACAACCCTTACCCTTAATAACAATCAGCCTAGAATAGACATTTCACAATGAGCCCAGCAATTGCCTTATCTTTGCCATAAGCTGCTTAGTTTCCTATCATTGGTTCTCTCCTCCCCTCTCCCCTCCCATTCATTTTTTGGGGTCTTTAAATTATAACATTATTATAGAAATGATTGTTGAACTCACGGATCATTAGACTTTGGAATAAGAGTGCCAAGCTCCTTGATTCGGTAATTAATATTATACCTTCTTCTTCTTTCAACTATTAAAGAAGAAATATTATTGATTATTCTCATTAATGCATGGTTCACTTTTGGTCAGCTGTAAACTTTCTTAATAATCTTTTAAAAACAATGGGCAAAAAAACTTTCCACTTAGACAAAAGATGATACTTCTCAACAATAAAATAAAATTTCAATATATGCTATTCTAAAAGTGAAAATTTCAATATTACAATCATAAATATATGATTTACAGTGTTTTAAAAACATCTTGTCACAAAACAACATTTAAAAAAATTTTTAAATACTATAATACTTATACTGAAATTTATATATATATATATATTCATATGTATATGTTTACTCTGTTTGATTATTTCATACATTGGCAATTTGTCAATCTGTAAGGATTGTAATCTTTTGAGGTCATGCAGCACGATTTATTCTTCTCATATACTGTCCTGAAAGCCTAACAGAATGTTTAGCACACAGTAGATATGTGTATTCAATTAGACTCTATGACCTCCTCGAGGGCAGGGATCTATCTTACTTCTTTTTCTATCACCAGAGGGCTTGACATATAGGAGGTGGTAAATAAATGCATGTGGATTAGACTGTAAATTTATTTTTCTGTTTTTGTTTCCAGTAATATATGAATAAGTGTTTTTCATACTTTGGTACTCTTCAGACACACCTGGAAGGATTGTTAAAATAGATTTGCACCATACACTTAGAAATTCTAATTTTAGTGTGTCCTGGAAGTAGGGGGAAAAGAGTAGGCAAGAATTTGCATTTCTAACAAGTTTCATGGTCATGCTGATGCTGTTTTTGTAGGTCCAAAGCTTTGCGAACTACTGATATAGACTCTTATTCAGAAACTGCTTTCTCTTTTTGTATTTCCACACATTCATTGCTTATGGCAATTTTCTGCACATAGTAAATGTTCAACATATGACATATATCTGTAAAATTTCCGGTATTACTCTTCTATAAGAGCAATATTCTACTCTATATTCCTAATATCAAGAATCATAACATAAATATGGTATCTTTTCCAACAGATATACTTAAAGCTTTAAGGGAAGTAAAGGTAGAAAAGGCTATGAAGAAGAAGGAAAATATAGTTTTTAAATGTTAGAAAATACTTAAACGGTTCAAACTTGATAATTATGAACTGCTATTAGAAAAAAGGAAAGTCACCAAAGATTATCAACTATCTTGATGAACTTACTCTACAAAGCAAATTACATGAATGAATTTGACCTCCAGGAATAATACATTGTGATTCCTTTAATATGAGAATATAATTGATTCTAGTAAGAGTTTATTTTCCCTCTTTACCAATCCTATTTCCCCTGTGAACATGATTCAAAAAATAGCTAAATGACCCCACAAAAAACACTGACTAGAAAATAAAGGTAAAACTGATAGAAACATATATACACAGATATTTTATATATGCATATGCTATATACACATATATGTATAATATATATGTAATACATATGCATATATAAAATAATAAGAATAAGAATCTATTAATAATTTTATGTCCACACACATTAACTCTTACAAACCAGGCTTTTAAAGATGAAGAACAACTATGAAAGAAGTTCACAGTGCTATCTCAAAATAAGGGACTGTTTTTGTCCTATGACGTTTCTTTAAGTTATTTTATTTAAATCTACCTTACGTAGAATGTCAGATCCTTCTTCTCTACTCTTCTTAGATAGTAGTCTATGAATTTTTAAATGGCTAATTATAATGAGAAATCTGGTTCTCCAATGTTGTTCATACCTAGTACTCATTATTTGTAAAGGAGTCAAGTTTTAAGAAATTACTAAACTACTTCATGCCAGGTGTGGTTTCACTCTTCACAAAGTTTTTGACACATTTACTCAATCCTGTCCTTAGATCCAGCAAGAGAGGCTCCTACTCTGATCAATATTTAGAAGAAGCCCTCTTGCCTTCTCTGGCCAGGCCTCCCTCCACTCAGCAAGACAGCCACAGGGCCAAGGGAACCCTTCTAAACTATACTCTGGATTATCTGCATAAACAATTTCCTCCCTAATTCCCTGAGCTCACTTCCAGAGCTTGTACAGGCCACTTCCTTAGGTCCGTCCTCCTAAGGAAAGAACATGACATCAGTGTGCTCACTCGAGGCCTCAGTTCTGACCAAAGGGCAGTTTTTTGCAGGGCTGTGTATGGAGCTTGAATGTACAGAATAGGGTGTTCACAGTCAAGTTTGAGGCCACTCGTCGCACAGAATGTAATGGAGGGTGCAGAAAGAAGAGGGATGGGCTGCAAGCTGAGAGCTGGTGTTGGCCCGCCTTGACATTTTCACACCAAACTCCTATGAGTTGAAAATTCTAAATTTACTCCCAGTCTTTATGAAGAATGGAACATAATTTTATGTAGACATCTGGTAAATGGGACTTCCTTTGTACTTTTGCTCTGATCATCACAAGTTTTAAGCGTTTTTTTCTAGATTCATTCTGTTTAAAACTTACAGTTTTTTTTTAGTGTTTCCTCCAAAAGCAAGATGATATAGCAGGTATATCTAGGTTAAGAAACACTTTGGTAATGGACATACAGGACACCTATGTTACTCCACATTAAATGACTTGTTTAAGCTCCAGACACAGTAGAGAGAAGGTAGGATTAAGGTCAGTAATCGTTAAGAGGTTAATTAGGAGAGAAGTCCATAGTTCCTTAATTTACTAATCCCTTCTATCAACCATTAGCTCTCCCCACTCATAATCTGGACCAAACTTATCTGCTCCAACACTAAGGGCATTGGGAATCAAATCATTTTTCTGAGAACTGTTATGACCACGTGCCAGCTCTTGCCTCACAGTCACATGCTCAGCAAACATCACTGTGACACAGGCAGGTGCTTTATGAACAGATGCAGGTTTCACAGGTAGGTGTAGAATCAATTTCAGCTAGTGACACATAAGGAAATTATTCATTAGTTTTAGGAATTTGCAATTTCTATTTATTTTTGTTTCATTCTACTCTTTTCTCAGTTTTTGATTTCACTTCCAGAAAAAAAAGGGCTTTACAGTCAATTAGTCAAGCTCTCTTGCAACTTAAGTCCTGACCAAACACCCTAAAGCTCAGCCTCCCTGCCAATCTGCTTTTTTTGCCTGATTTCTTCATCTCATATGACCTGTTATCAGAGTCTAATTGACCCTTTGAAAGGCAGGAGAGTCCTGTTTGTTCCAGAGGTGGAATTCCGCACAACATAGCAATGCCTTTCAGATAACATATCATGAAGAAGGGAGGAACAAATTGACACAGAAAAACGAGAACCTGGAGTTATGTTTCCTACTATTTAAATGTTGTACATTTTCAAAAGTCACTTTTATTTATTTAAACCTTTGAGTCAATGAGTCACCACAGAATTGGCGTGGTGAATATAAACACATTGGTGTGGAAAATATAAACAAATGCACTCATCTTAGTCACAGGCAACCTCCTTGGGAGTGAATGATCAAGGAGGGAATTCGAGATGTTTCATTTTGTGAAAATAGACAGCTTTTCTGAGAGTTCACATTGTTAATATTTCCCAAAATAAATTAAGTTGTATGTGCAATTAATTTTGGTCATCTGACATCAAAATACTTATGGAGTGATAATGAAATACCCAACACTTTAACCTCCATGCATTTCCATTTACATTAATTTTATATGGAAAAATATATATATACTCACTGAGGTTGTGGTTGTCCTTTTTTTGTCTCTCTTTTGTTAAAGCTCTAGTGTCAGTTTCTGATCAAAAGAAAAATATGAACAATGCTTACTTCTATCTTAAAACCCCTCAAGGCAACATAATTCAGAACTACTAGGTGAAAATACAATATTACTTGCCCCAAAATGATGCAATAATATTTTTGATGCAGATATTCAGAAATTTGGAACACAGTACTCTTCAGTAAAAGGCAATGGCAAAGCTTTTAGGCTCTGGGATAACAGAAACTAAATTTATATTCTGGCCTTCCATTTAATAGTTGCGATCTATTATCAAACTTCTCTGTGTTTCAGGCTCTTCAACTGTAAAATGACTATAATACAACACCTACCTTATAATGATTGTGATAACCAAAATAAATATACTACACAGAAAATATTATAGTATTCAATTCGTATTTTTAGAATTTTGAGATTCAGAAAGAAATTATTCCAACCTAAATATTTTATTTGTAATTTATTTCTACATCCTGAGAGTTGGAAATCACTATATTTCTCAAATATCCACATGAAACAATTCCACACTCTCTTCCACTAAATGGCACTTTCCTCTATGTATGATGTGGTTGTGTTTATATGACCATCAGCCTCCAGGATGGCCTACAATGATTCTTACTTTGTAGAATTCACGCTTTGTAGTTCCCTCCCACATTAAATAAATAAGGCTGGCCTGTGATGCCACTGGTTTGTTGTGGAAATGACTAGTGTCCAAGGCTAGATAACAGAAGATATTTTTAACTTTCACGTCAGTGTCTCTTTGATCTCTAGTTCTCATGTCATGAGGACACTCAAGCAACCCTATGAAGAAGTCCAAGCAGGCAGGAACAAAGACCACTTTCCAACAGGCAGCACTATCCTACAAGACCTTGAGTGAAACACCTTGGGAGCACATCCTCCAGCCCCCGTCAAGTCTCAGGTGTCTGTACTTCTGGCTGACCTCTTGACAACAGCCTCATAAGAGAGTCCAGTCAGAACGATTTCACTAGGCCGCTCCTGCATTATTGATGCTCAGAGATTGAATGAGATTATAAATGTTTATTACTTTAAGTTGGTCAATTTCAGGGGTAATTTGTTGTTATGCAACAAAAATAATGAATAGAATATTGTTAGAGTCATAGCTTAAAAAGTTAATAAAATAATACATTTTATTTAATGTATTTGTTTAAAACTATATTCATTAATTTTAGCCTGAATAATTTGAATGTATAGATATTTTTGAATTATTGATTATGCTTTAAGAGTGGTCATGTTGTATTTATTTAAAATTTTACCATTAACTAGGTAAAATTACTAAAGATTGGCATTTAAGCTCCAAACCAAAGGTTTATGATAGAACTCTCAAGTGAATTTATTTACATTGTTCTTTTGGAGGGACTAACACTGGACTTGTAAGTCTGGAAATTCTTATGTTAATTCAGTTCTGCTTGTAACCAGCTGTTACACTTTTCGGAAAGTAGCTCCTCTGACCCCAGGTTGATTTCTTTGTCTATATTTTGGAAGAATTTGACTATGCTTCTATAATTTAAATTTTAACAATTTTGAAATAAACTATTGAAAATTGAGGGTTTATTTTCAACTAAAAAAATTAAATGCGAGTCTATCATTAAATCCATAAAACAAGCTAAAAAGGAAAAAATTTTCAATATTTGTTTTTTATCAAATTCTTCATACAGAGTAGACTAATTTCTCCAATTTATTATATCACTTTTTTACCATGTTAATAAATGGCATTTCTTTAATGTAAAAATGAACTATTGTTAAATGAAACTTTTATGTATGTATATCTGTTTGTGTATATACATGTATATATATTTATATAAAACGTATGTGCATATTTGTTCAACTTCTAAAATAATCAATTCAGTCAAACTGTAAGTTATATTAACTTACTTCTTGGCTATCATAAAAAGAAATGATGAATTTAGGTTCTGTCTCCTTTTTTGTAACTGTTTTGATATATTTTTAAAATTCTAGTTAGCGTAATATATGCCACTTATGCCTTATGCCATTAATAAAAATAAAAAGGGTAAAACTAAAAAAGCAACATTACCTGTAATTTCTCTTTTCATTGGTAGACTACTTGGACAGGAAGCACTTGTAAGCCCCATGTTAACTGGTGAAATTCCTTGTTCACCACTATACACATCCAAAATACTTCCAGATAACTTGAGAGGAAAAAGGAAGAAAAGATTAATAAAACCTTTGAGTAAATTGATATATTTAGTTGTATATTTTACATTTTCCACTTTAAATGTGGCATTTTCTTAATAATAATTTGTAATTTAAGGCATTTTACTTTTAAACAAGACATGAGTATGCATTAACTTTTTAAAAATACATTATAAAATGCTTGCAGATAAGGTGTGCTGAAAAAAAGTTATATGTGTTTAAGCAAAAACAGAAATCAGTTCATGTATGGAGGAAAGCTTCCTATTAATATTCACAAAGTTAGGTAAGTTTGATCCAGCACCTGACCTGGTTACAAATAGATACAATTAAAAATATCATTTTGGACAAAAATCAATACACATCTTTGCAAAGCTGGAAAGTTCATCACATCCCACAAATTAGGTATAATGGTTGAATATTTTGGGAGCCTTCTTAATACCATCAGTGCTACCAGCAACTCACAGTCAAGAGGTGTTTTGCACTGTGAATTAAATGAGACTCTCTTTCCTTCCTAGAAGGCATATCTTTTCCCATTGTACACTTAATGTTCTAGATTGTTATAAATATCCCAGCTGGTAACCAAAAGTAGTCTAAACTACTTTTGCCTCTAGTGAATATAGGGTACATCCAATTATAGCAACACTGAAATTCCTGAACTGCTCCTTGGGAACAATTTTTTTAGAAATGCTAAGGTGCTTCATATACAATTCCAAAATTGCACCAATTCATTATTCAAAGTGTGCTTATCGATTTGACTTCCCAAGAAAATTAAATTTAAATAATATTCATATTTCATATTAATACTCATTACTTCAGAAGAAGGTGCATTTACAATGTAGGATTTGAAATTTTAAGCTATTTCCATTGTAAGCATATTTATTCCATTTCTGTGCAATAAACCAAGAGCTGAATAAGAAGCAAGTTTTTTTCTTTCCTCAAGGACTAGAAACAAAACATACAATCAAACAATGCTCTAACAAGTTTTTCATGAAGAATCTAACTTCACAATCCACTTTTTGCAAAATTCCAATTCAATCTGAGAGAATTTATAAAATCAGACTGGAAAAAAATATAAAGAAAGGACATATTATGACTAAAATTAGTTTCTGAGATGATAATCTATTACAGTATATACAATAAATATTGTATATACCTGAGGGAAAAAAATTAAAAAATACATTTGAAATTACATCAGTTTATATGCATATCCATAAGGACATTTTAGACTTGTATCACACTCAGATGTATATTTTCATATTTTTTCATTATTAACTCTATTAGGACCTTCACATTTATTTTATATAAATTCATTTTTAAGAGATTTTTGCCTTATTGTTCTTGGAAAGGAGCTACAGTCAGCTATTGAAGTCAGCTATCCCTCCTCAATTTTCTCTTCTGCAAAATAAGGACAAAGTTGACCAAATTAGGCAGACAATGTGTGTTCGTATCAAATAAATACAATTATTCTTTGGAAGAAATCCAAAAAGCAGATGTTTTTCTAAGGTATGACTCACCTAGTCATACTTTTTAAAGTGTAAATTTTCCAAGGTCATTTTTGAAAGGCCTGATGGTTATGAGCTGAGACATCACCAGCCTGAATTGTACATTTCCACTGTGCCTTTGAGAAGCATAATGGACACATTGAACAAAAAGGGAATGAGGGGGACAGAACTAGGAAAAGGGCACTTTTCCTCTGAGGAGCTTGAATTCAGATAGATTTCAATGTAGAAGTGGCAAGTTGCAGAAATGTTAAGGAAGAAAAGGAGCCACATTATAGATCTACTGCAACAATAAAGTAAGAGTTTCCTAACTATACCATTTGCTTGCCTCCATATTACCTGGTCACACAGCACCCAGTGCATTATTCCTTAGAAATGGGGTTGAAAATCTGATAATGAACCTAATCCTGCTTAACTGTAGCCATATTACATATTCTCCTGATCTTGATTATTGTCTAATTTATGCCCTAAAGCACAATAATTAATATCCTATTTAATTTTATGCTGTAGGTACTGCCCTGTTTCATGTAAATGGCTAATCTCTTTTTGAATGTCATTAAGCAATTGAGTTCAATTTCAAAGTATGTAATACACTTCATGTAACCTAAAGTGCATTTTCCCCATTAAAAGATGTAAGAGTACAATGTTAGTGAAAATGTACAGATTGCATTCACCTCTGAAAAAGCTACCAAAGAAAACTTACATCAACCTTTGCCAACAGTATAGGTTACTTAGCTAATAAGGGCTAAGTTTTAACTGTATGTTGTAGATCAGTAGGGAATGAATACCTATTTTATGAAGAAATATTCATTATGATATTTTTAAAAGGTTGCTTTCTCAGTAAGGCAAAATCTTCAATGTGTTCAAAAGGCAAACATAATATTAACAAAAAATTCACAACCTTAAAAGACATAAAATAAAATCAAATCCAGTCAACAAAGTGAGAGAGACGGCCTGATAGAACACAGCCTACTTCTCTACAAGGCAGTACTTCTGTCTGATAGAAAAAATGGACTCAAAATAACATCAAATGTATTTGTAATAATTTTTAATATAAAATAATAACAAGCAAACATATGACTAAATAGACCAAGGATAAATGAGAGATATGAGAAATAGAATGCTTAGGAAAAAAACTTGTAGAATTGAAAAAACAACATAACGGAAACAATAAAAAAGAAATAAAAGAATTGGTAAAATATAAAACTGAAATTTTGCAGTAATCTCCCAAGAGGATAAGGAAAAGGACCAAGAAATAGAACATCTGAAAGAACACCTGAACAATATAGAGGAAAGAATTATTAGAACTTAATTACAGATAATAGAAGTTTCAAAAAGAGAGAAAAATAAAATTGGAAGAAAGAAAAAAATTTTTTACATAATTGAGACACAGTTTTAAGAATTAATAATAATTAACAGACCACAGTGTTTTATTTTATTTTACCTTATGTTATCATCATTTTCTTTTCATTTAATAATCAAAGTGTTTATAGAATGGCTAACAAGAATGATAGAAAAACCTACATTCAGATATATTATACTAAAATGAAATAGTATACAATAATAAAAAGAAAAAAATCTAAAAGCCTAAAGAAAGATTATGTACAAAGAACAAGATTCCAATTAATATAAAACTTTCCAATAGAAAAAGTGAATGGAAAAATGAAACAAATATGTATTTTAAAACATTGAAAGAAAAATTAAAACAGAGCTTTATATCTAGCTCAAATGTCATTCACACATGAGGCCATGATAAAAAAATATTCTTAGGCATGCAGTGCTTAAGAAAGTTTTTCCCACAAAGACTAACACTGGGTAAAGTGCTTAAATAAGTAGAGATATTTTAGAAATAAACTCAAAAATATAAAATAAAATTGATCAAATATCTTGGTAAAGTGATTCTGGAATAAATAATGGGGGTGGATTCAAGATTGAAGATTAGGTGAAACACATAACTATGTAACTCAATCTAGATAATATCAGCAGAATTGGGTTGATATAGCAGGGAAGCCATAGGATGTGAAAGTGGTAAGAATGTATTAAGGAGAAACACATTAAAAATGAGACACAAAAATGAATTAAGAAGAGCAAGTGAAAATATATCAATAATAATAATTGATTTAAATAGGTCAAACTCCCTAGGTAAAGGCTCGACAGATGAAGTAAGAAAACAGGAACTAGACATAAATATCTTACAAGAGACATATCTACATAGTAAGAGGACACCTAAAGATTAAAAGTTACAGAATGAAAAAAGATACATCCAGCAAATAATATCCACAGGGAAAATGATATAGCTATATTAACATCAGATAAAAGGGCTTTCATGCTTAAAAAATTATTAATGAAAATGAGTCACTATTTCTAAGAGGTATAACAATTACAAGCATGTGTACTCCTCATAAAGTAACCTCCAAACATGTGAAACAAAATATTTAGAACTACAAGGGGAAATGAATAAATACACCATCGCAGTGGAAGACTTTAACACATATCTCCTCATTTTTGAAAAGTCAAGCATACAAAAATAATCAGTAATTCTATGGAAGGTTTGAACAATAAATGTAAAAGCTCAGCCCAATAGACACGCATATAGTTTTACATGAAGAAATACAGTATATATACTTCTCTCAAGTACATTTGGAACATATATAAAAACTGATTAGGTGCTTAGTCAAAAGAAACCCTCAACACATTTCACAGAGTATCTGATTGCCAAAATATTTGGAAATTTTAGAAAATTGTTAAAAACCTCAGAGTTTAAGATGAAATCATACTGGAGTTTTAAAATAAAACAAAGATAAAACACATGTAAAGAAATGTCTGGGATATGACAAAAACAATTCTTTAAAGAAAATTCATAGCCTTAAATGATAAATGACAAATATATTCATTTTTGAAATATATATAAATTAAGCATTATTTTTTATAAAATGGGAAAAATCCAAATAAACAAAAAAACTAGAACAGATAATATAATAAAATAAGACCATAAATCAATATAGAACAAAAAAAATACAATAATAGATTCACAAAGCAAAAGTTGTTTTTGTTTGAAAAAAATTAACAAGATGGACATGCTTCTGGCAAAATTGATTAAGTGAATAACATTTCAAATAAAAGAAGAGAGTAACTACAGTATATGTTAGATTTAAAAGGTAGTTAAGTTTCTCCCATAAGATTAGGAACAAGATGAGGATGCCTATTTTCACTATTTCTATTCAACATAGTATTGTAAGTTTTCTTGAGAATAATTAGGCAAGAAAAAGTAACAAATGTTATCCATATTGGAAAGGAATAAGTGAAATGATCTGTTAACTGTTGACATGATCTCTTTTTTTTTTTTTTTCATTTCTTTCACACATCCTTTTTATTCCTAATATCTTTTTTTTTCCCATTTATTTATTTTATTGCATTTTAGGTTTTGGGGTACATGTGAAGAACATGCAAAATTGTTGCATAGGAACACACGTGGCAGTGTGATTTGCTGCCTTCCT